GTGGCCAGAGTCAGGCTGCAGAGTGCGGACCGCGCAGATGAGCAGAGTACATCGCCTCTTCAGGACGTCGGCATCGTCATCACCGTCATTCTCCTCCTCCCCTCCCCCACAGCCCTCCACACTGAAGAGCACTGGCTGCTCTTCCGAGAGTACCTGAGTTTGAGTCTGTACACCAGCATAGTGGCTTACAACTGTCTGTAACTCCAGTTCCAGGAAGTCTAATGCCCTCTTCTGGTCTTTTTGGCCAGCAGGCATGCACTGTAGTGCAGACATACATGCAGGCCAGTACTTGTGCACACAAAATTCAAAAGAGTGGATGACTGTAGCGCCCCGCCAGTTCAGAGCATCACATGTGACATGTCCTTGCCCAGGGTGTCTGACTTCATTCTTACCAAGGATTTACACTTACAGCTGCTGTGGAGGGGCACACCAGTGTTCAGGAGGCAGAGGCAGGTGGATCTCTGTGAGTTCCAGGCCAGCCTGGTTACAAAGCGAGTCCAGGACGGCCAAGGCTACACAGAAATTCAGTCTCAAAAAACTTGAAAAAGAAAAGAAAAAAAGATTTAGATCTAATATCTGTTTTTTGGTAAATCTGAAGAAGAGAGGAAAATGGGAGGAAGGGTACAGCGTAGCACAAGGAAGAGTAGACCTAGCCTCTAATGATGGCGTCCTCAGCATCTGGAGTGTCTTTAGATGAAAATCAAGGCAGATGGGGAAAGGAAGGCTGGAGGAAGGGAGGAGGGCTTTTTGTTGTTTGTTTATTGTTCTAGGTTTCAAACCCAGGACCTCAGTAATGCTCTCAACAAGTGCCAGCTACATTCCCACACACGTAAGACGCCTGCCTGCATGCAGAAGCCAGTACTGTAAAGGATGCTTTGCTTGGCTGTGAGGAGCTTGGAGCTTGCACAGTGCTGGGGCTAATGTCCTGTGTCTTCCTCCTCTCTGCTGTGCCAGCTGTGGACCTTCTGGAGAAGATGCTCGTTCTGGACTCGGATAAGAGGATCACGGCAGCGCAGGCTCTTGCACACGCCTACTTTGCGCAGTACCACGACCCTGATGACGAGCCTGTGGCCGACCCTTACGACCAGTCCTTTGAGAGCAGGGACCTCCTTATAGATGAGTGGAAGAGTAAGTTCAGAGGCAGGGCTAGCCTGGGCTCGGGACCTTGCTTTCCATTTATTCTTGGGTTGGTTGGTTGATTGGTTGAGCCAGGATTTTTCTCTGTGTAGCCCTGGCCGTCCTGGAGCTCACTCTGTAGACCAGGCTGGCCTCAAATTCAGAGATCCACTTGCCTCTGCCCCCTAGTGCTGGGGCTAAAGGCGTGGGCTACCAACCCGGATTATTTAACCCTTTTTAACAGAGCTAGAGGGTCTCTCTGCATGTGTGTCTTGACGGGGTCTGGATGCACACGGACAGTGCACAGCCTTCACACTGACGAGAGCTTTTGAGGTTTTGGAGGTTTCGAACTTGCAGCATCTCTTTGGGATAAACTGGGTCCCGTGTATATTCAGCTTTACAGTTGGTAGACGTAAGGTGAGAGTTTTCTCTAGCTTACCTTTGGCCTGGTTAGGGGCTGCCAGGAATGGAGCCACAGCTCCACGTCCAAAGTCATAGTCCTTCATAAGTCACAGGGTCCTTTCCACAGTTAGGCCCCAGAGCCAGGGCTGCCTCGGTGCAGTGCGGAGTGCAGAGCCGTTCCAGGGCACACGCAGGAGCGCAGCAGAGCAGTTCTCTCGAGTCCTTGAACTGGTGCCGCGCTGCTGCAGGGCTGCAGGTCATGAGCAAGTAGCAAGCCGATGAAGCAGCTCGCCAAACCGTGCAGATGGGAGGGAGGAGCTGGGTGTGTGCCAGCAGGCAGCCTCTCGGGTCTCATGCCTCTCCCTTCCCTGTCCTAGGCCTGACCTACGATGAAGTCATCAGCTTTGTGCCTCCGCCCCTTGACCAAGAAGAAATGGAGTCGTGAGCAGCCAGTTTCTGTTGTCACTCCCACTTCACTGTGAGGGGAAGGCCTTTTCATGGGAACTCTCCAAATATCATTCAAGTGCCTCTTGTTGAAAGATTCCTTCATGGTGGAAGGGGATGCATGTGTGCGCATAGTATTTGTGTGTGTGTGTGTGTGTCTGTCTGTCCATCTTTGTGGAAGTCATGGCAGTGATGTCACGAGTTGGGACTGCTCCTTGGCAACCTCTGCCTGTGCCCTCAGTCTCGGCAGGCCAGTGGGAACTGCCAGATCGTCAGGTGTTAAGTGCAAAGGAAGAAATTAATTTACCCTGTTCCTACTCACACTTCTGCCACTTTGGCTCCTCCTGTGAGAGAGGCTGCTTCCGGTCTGAGGCCATCCCTCAGCCATGCGTAAAGCCGAAGAGAACCAGCTGGCTCCTGGGCTCTATCCTGCAGTTGGCTTGCTTCATGCCCTCAGAACTGAACCTGACAGGTGTGTTCAAAGCTGTCAAGTCTGTTTGTGCCTTAAAAGGAGAGAAGGGTGTGTAGTTAGAGAATCACAGCTGCTGATGTTCTGAGCCAGGCAAGCACACGTGGCCAGTGGTGAGCTAGAAGAAACCAGGCAGCCTTCAGGAGGGCCGTGTGCATGTGTGTGCATGCCTGTGTGTGTGGCCACCTTCCTCCACTTGAGGAGCAGCCAGCTTCTGTGCTCACCCTTCACCTCTGCAGAGGTGCCGTGGCAGGTGCGGGTCCCTGCCGGCAGTAGCTCCCTGTGCTCTTCACGCCTCGCAGAGGGCAGCCGTGTTTGCATGCTGTGCCCGTGGAGCTTGCACAGCCCCTGTCCTGTTCTCTTCTGGAAGCCCTGGGCCAGGTTGTGGAGATTGCTGGCAGCTCTCGCCCACGTTGCCTCCGCTGATGCTGTAGGCACGTTGCTGCTCCTCGCTCAGCGCTACTTTGTATTGAGCACAGCTGGTCCTCTGGGTGCTCGTGGTGCAGGAGAACAAGACAGGCGGAGCACCGGGCTCTCACCAGCTGACTGTCACCAAGTCGGGGACACAGAGTCTCCTAGGAATGCCCCAGCTCTGGAAATCACGTTCTTCTTCTCATTCATGGTAACCAGCCAAGAGATGCTGAAAACCGAAGCAAGAAACAAACGCTCGCAAAGCCAAGAACTCCTTTCACTATCTTTCTCAAATACAGTTGTTAGAAAAATACCAAGTAGTCAAGGTGCCTTTCCTCGGAAGGGCCCCCGGCAGCTGACACCGGCTGATTGCAGTCTCGGTGTTGATTTGGCGAGAAGTCAATTTTGTCTTGGAATTTTGTGTGTTGTAGGAATCCTTAGAGAATGTGATTCCTTCTGATGGGGAGAAAGGGCAAATTATTTTAATATTTTGTATTTTCACCTTTATAAAGATGAATCCTCAGGGGTGAAGAACTGTTTGCATAATTTTCTGAATTTCGGGCACTTTGTGCTATATGAGGACCCATATATTTAAGCCTTTTGTGCAGTAAGAAAGTGTAAAGCCAATTCCAGTGTTGGACATGACAGGTCTTGTATTTAGGTCAAGGTGTCTCTGTTCTCGGTCAGTGCAGGGAACATGCACGCTCCGGGGACCAGGGTAGGACCCTGAGTCATCTGGGGCCCAGGAGGAGGCAGACCAGCCAGGCCTTGCTGCCCCAGCATGCAGTTCAGCTCCACACCATCCCAGCAAGATGGATTTTAGTAGCCATGTCTGGTTACGCATGTGAGTGATTCCCAACAGAATTCTGCTCTGGTTATTTTATCGAAGATGTCTGCACATGTGACCATGCTGTTAGGAGGCTGCGCTCCGATGCCTGGACTCTGCCCGGACTCGCGGCTGGAGCTGGCAGAGAGCGCCTGGCATCCGCAGCGCAGTGCTGCCACCTCCCGGCTTCTCCATCCGAGGACAAGGGAATGAGGAAACTGCTGTTTTTCTGTATTCATGAACTTGGCTATAATCTGGTATGCCATAGGATGTCAAGACAATACCACTGGTTAAAATAAAGCCTATTTTTCAAATTTAGTTTGTTTCTCAAGTTTATTATGTTCCTCTTCTTGATTGTGGGGTGTTTTTTATTTTTTGGTCATTCGTGGCCTGGCATACATTTCTGGCAGACCCTTTATAAAGCTGCCTCGTTGCCCTTGTGGTACAGTCAGGTCTTTGCCATGGGTGAGTTAACATGCAGAGAGCAAAACCTGTACAGGCTGAACATTTTCACATCATTGAAAAGGTCAAAAGAATAAACATTTTACAGTTTGAATCGCAGTGTCCAAAAATAAAGTCTGATCAGAGAGCACCTACAGCGATTGTTACAGGTCTCCTGGCTGCCTTCTTGCCACAGTGATGGTGGACGTAGCTAGGGAAAGAGCGCAGGGTCCAGCCAGCCGTCCGCTTAGCCTTCAGCCCCTCGGGTTTGCTGAGCACTTCTATGAAGTGAAGTTGCTTTCTGATGAAACATTCTAAGACTGTATGATATAGTCTTAAAAACTGCCAGAAAGAAGTCTGGGTGTGTGCCTGCGTGTGCAGGATTGGAGCACGTGTGTCTGGCTCTGCTGTCTCCACAGCCTTAGAAAACTTTCTTCCAAACCAGTGAGCTGCATCATGGGATTAAAAGGCTTCCGGTCTCCCAGGCATCCAGAGAGAAGCATACGTGCAGCTGGGCTTTTGTCTCTGGCCGCCTGCTGGGGATAATGCCTGCCGTCAAGCGCCACACAGGTGCAGGCTCCATTCCTCTGCTCTGCCCCCCTCCCCAAGGGTAAGCGAAGGGCTTCAGCAGGTGTGGGTAGCTCTGGGAAAACTCTTGACAGCTGTCCCAGCAAGATGGCTTAGGCCACAAGGAGAGCAGCTTAGCACCAAGCCTGACAACCTAAATTGAGTCCTAGGGATTCACACAGTGGGAGGGAGAGCGAGCTCAAGTTGTCCTTTGCCCGCTGCACTTGGACAGAACTTTTAAATGTAGTAAGAATCAGACCTAGACACAGCTCTGCTGAAGTTAGGAGCCCAGAAACTAAATGAACGCACCTAAGATGGTGACAAGAGCCTCTTGGGGTATAGGAGGGAAGAGGAGGAATATGGCTCTTGAAGTGGAAATTTCTGGGTTTGTTTTGTTTTTGAAGATTGCTTGCTACTGTTAACCCCAAAAACAGCCAACTCTTGTGTGTATGTAGCCCTGGCTGTCCTGGAGCTCTGTAGACCAGCCTGGCCTTGAGCTCAGAGATCCGCCTGCCTCTCTCTCGCAAGTGCTGCTGTTAAAGGCATGCGCCACCATGGCCCAGATAACAAAACTGTTCTTAATTTCCAACCTATGATTACAGAAAAAGAATGATCCCAGTGTCCCATTTTCAAATGGAACGTTTAGTGTCTTTCAATGTTCCCATTTGAATTTTGCACCATTGCAGAGGAAATTCTGTAGAAACCGAAGAATGGGTTAGGGAGATGGCCCTGGTGGCCATTCAAGCCAGAAACCCCTGGTTCAATCCACAGATCCTCGTACGGGTACTAGGTACGTGCACCTGCAGTCCAGAGCTGTGCGTCTAGAGACACAGATCTCTGGGGCTCACTGGCCAGCCAGCATAGTCTACTTCAGGACAGTAAGTAAGCCTGCCTCAAAAGAAGGTGGGGTCCAGACTGTGGCTCAGCGATCAAGCACACCGGCTGCCCTTGCAGAGGACCCAGGTTCAATGCCCAGCACCACCTCCATGGCAGCTCAGAACTGTCCGTAACTCCGGTTCCAGGCAGTCTGATGGCCACTTCTGGCCTCTGCAGGCGCCAGGCACACATGTGCACAGACATACTTGCGGACAAAACACTCAATACACATTAAGTAAAAATCTAAAAGGAAAGTGCCTGGTGCCTAAGGAATGGCACCCCTGGCTTCCACGTGCGTGCACGCCTGCACACACACAGACAAACAGAACATGGAAACACCTCTTGCCTCTCAACCTACCGACACACCGGAAGCACCCGCCTCCGCCTCCCTTACTGTTGACTGACCCTAACTTCCCGTTTTTTTTAATAAGTTCATTCGAGACTGTGGTTTTCTGGGTTGTGTCTCGACTTCGCTGAGTCCACCATCACCTGCAAGACAGGAGACAGCTGCGATGAATCTGCTGGGTGTTTGTGTCCTACCATAGACTAGCAAGAGGTCCATGAGCCTGCAGTCAGTGTTTCCATCCTGCTGGCTTCCCCGTCTTCAGTGTCTGGAAAGTGGGAGGACTCGGTTGACACGTGATAACAGAACGGGAGTGGGGCTTCCTTTGTAATCCAAGTGTGTTTTAATGCGGACACACCCACTGCAGTCCTTCCCGGTGCACAGACCGAAGGGGGGTAAATACGCCATTCCGTGCAATAGAAGGGACCGCAGACAACCTAGGAGGCTGTCTGTGCAGCTGGGCCCCTCACGGACTCCTGGATGGCCATTCGAGGTGCATGATGGGAAACAAAGCAGTGACACAGCCTACAGTACATGTCCTGTCCCTCACTGGTAGATGGTAAAGGTTGAGGCGCCCTTACCCAGAATGCCTGGGAGCAGGCATGTTTTGGGTGTTAGCACCTTTGGGTGTCCCGACTCAGAAACTTCATGTTCTGAGACACGCTGAGTGGCAAACACAGTGGGGGCACCCCGGGCTTTCAATCCGGGAGAGACACGCTCTGCCCGACTGGCCAGGACGACCCGAGAGGGTTAAACACTGAAAGCTCAGCAGCGTCCCTGGCTTTGGTCTGGGTTTTAATCGATGAAGATACGTACAAATCCACCTGGCCTGGGCACTTGCTCCTCGAAGCCCTTTCTGTGCAGCCCGTGTGTCGCTCCCTGCTACAGGAGCCTTACCCCGGAGGAGGGGAGGGTGACGTGCCTTCGTCCCCACAGCCAGTGTTCTGAGGGATCAGAAGCAAGACTTGTTTCCAACTTGGCCCCTGATGACATCTCAGCCAGATAATCCTTAGTCATGGAACCGTCCCAATGCAAGCCACCACGCGGTACCCAGCCCTGACTCCACCCACAGAGGCCCTCAGCACCCATGCCTCCTTTCCCAGCTTACCACAGCCGCAGCTGCCTCTAGGTGTTACCAGACAGCTGGCGATGTCATCCAGGTGTAAAATAACCTCAAGTCTTACAGGAGTTCCTTGCCTCTGCTCTTGAGAATACAGTGGAAGTCAACTTTTTTTTTCCAAAAATTTATTTTATATATACAAGTGTCCTATCTGCATGTGTGGCTGCAGGCCAGGAGAGGGCACATTACAGATGGATGTGAGCCACCAGGTGGTTGCTGGGAATTGAACTCAGGACCTCTGGAAGAACAGCCAGTGCCCTGAACCACTGAGCCAGAACCCTTCCAGCCCCAGAAGTCAACCTCTTACAGCCTACTGTAACTTGGGTAGTATGTTTGTCCCAGAAGTCAGGTACCTTCAAGTAAAAGAAAGTCCCCAGCTGGACCTGTCCCAGGACTTGGAAGACAGAGGCAGGCAGATCAGAGTTCGAGGCCAGCCTCTTCTTATAAAGTGAGTTACGGGACAGCCAGAGCTGCATAGGGAGACCTTGTCTTGAATGGATGGCTGATGAATGAATGAATGAATGAATGGCCCCTTTAAAGACTCCATGTGTGCCTTGAGAAAAAGAAGTCAGACATCTCAGAAGGAAGTCCTCAGGCATGCTTCAACCTGTAGTCCCAGGCGACCTTAGCGCTCAGGAAGAGGCAGGAGGCTCTGAAGCTGGAGACCCCGTCCCAACCATCCTCCCTGCTGGGCCTGGAGAGGCGACTCGAAGTTAAGGGTGCTCCCTGCTCATTCTGTTCCCGGCGTCCGAGTGGCGGCTCGCAGCTGCCTGTAACTCCAGCTCCACGGGATCCAGTGCCGCTGGTCTCTGGTACCCAAGGGCGCCTGTACTCGTGTGCACACACCCACACCCTGAGATTCACGTATGTACACATACTTATAAATACGTCCTTTTTAAAAAGTCAGATCTCCGCTTCAGACCTCTCCCCCCCGACTCTGATGTGGGAGAAGCCAATTGTGCGCAGTAACTACCATCCCTAGAGCAAAGCCTCCCGGTACCCACTGCTGGCAGGGCAGCTTTGGACAGCTCCCTGACTCACTGCTGACGGGCACTGGGGTTTTACCGGGAAGCGCGAGGGGCCTTTGTTCACCTTTGTCCCCGTGTGGCCTGAGCCTGTTGAGCTGGCTCTCCCGTTCCAGCTGCGGTGTTGGTGATCCTCTGTGACACCCAGACCCAGTTCCTCCCGGCCATTGCTCAGGAGTGACAGAGCCTCCAAGGAAGGCTTGTCACGATGACAATGCTAATGGCTGTGACAGCACTGTGCGGGGAGTGTCCCCACCTACTGGTGCAGGAAGGAGTGGCTGTTCTGCTCATAAACCCACCCCTGCTCTCGGCATCACCGGTCCGCAGGCTTCCACCGTCCTCCGTGCTCAGTCCCCGGGTTTCTGAGAACCGTCAGAGATTCTGAAACAGGGGGCAGCTGGATGGCCTTCACTGATTGTTAAGATGGATTTTTATGGGACTGGAGAGATGGCTCAGCTGTTAAGAGCACTTCACTGCTCTTCCAGAGGTCCTGGGTTCAATTCCCAGCAACCAGATGGGAATTGTGGCTCACCAACATCTATAATGAGATCCGATTCCCTCTTCTAGCCTGCAGGTGTACACACAGAGCCCTCACACACACACACACACACACACACACACACACACACTACATGAATAAATCAATCTCCAAAACAGATGTGTTTTTATTAAGCTGCACGTAGTGGTGCTTAATCCCAGCACCTGCGAGGCAGATGAAGGTGGTTCTGAGTTCGAGGCCAGGCTGCAGCCTGGTCTCCAGAGTGAGTTCCAGGACAGTCAGGGCTACACGGGGATATCCTATATAATATGTATATAGTCTCTCTCGGTAGTTTTACTTATTTACGTATGTGTGTGCCGTCTGAATGTACGCACACGTGTGTGGAGGTGGGGGGGGGGGGGGAGGCAGGTGTTGGATCCCCTGGGGCCGGGGTTACAAGCCGTTGTG